AGTTGAGCAACATTTTTGCTTACCCGATAAAAAGTTTAGAAAAGTTTTTCAAAGGAAATTATAATTTCTTATTTTCCTGCAACAGCAAACAAGAAAATATTTATTTGCCAGTAAAGAACAAAGGATACTCTGCTGCCTACACTGATACTTGAAGCAGAGCGAAATGATGGCACGTGTTTTTTTTAATCAAATTTACATACTAAATGTTACATAAGAAACTTTTTCCCACTTTGTTTTTTTGGGGGGCAATGCAGCTATAATAATTTCAGCTAATCGCTAAAGGAAGTGCGCAAAGAGAAAATATGCGCTGTGATAATAAGGTACATACCTGGAAAGATTTACACATTCACAATGTCTCACCAATGAAAAGGTGGCCTTTGAGGAAACTTTGCCATTTACTTGTATAGGTATGTAGGTACATATGTATGTATGTAGGTATGTAGATACATATATGTACATCAAACTGTGGTGCCTTTCAAGCGCAGGAAGGAAACAATCTTTCATACAAACAATGAGACATTCCATATCACACCTTGTTGGCAGTTGTTGGTGTTGGGTAAACAAAAACGCGCGTAATAAATCACACAAACTTCCCTTATCCCATAAATACTGAAATGGTGTGAGCATCCATTCAGGCCATTCTTTCATTATGTCAGTATTTATGGTTAGGGTGCGAAGTTTTCACATTATGGACACCAGCAGTGGTACTGAATGCTGTTAATTGTGGTGCCATGCAGCCAAATCACGCCAGAAATATTAAAGTGAGTCCATTGTTTGTTTGTCATTGATTTAAGCACTTAGATGAAAATGTATGAAATTTATGCAAGAAAGTTACAAAAGCTAAGAAATTAATACTGGCATATCTATATAAATAAATATACTTAATGGTGTTTTGAAAGTTTGAATAATTGAATCAACAATTTTTGAATCGCCTTGCTCAATTTCGTATACCCCGCCTCTATTTAATTTCAATGTAATATGAATGACGAATTAATCCGCGAAGTGACGCAGGAGTCGTGAGATTTTAAAAACCCGTATTTATAGTCCTATTTGGTCCATGGAAGGAAATAACTGCATAAAAAATGTTGGCGATAGGGTCGATGTAGTTCATATTTTAAAATAGATTTTACTTACATGAAAAGGAATAACTCCACAATACATTTTACCGATAGGTGGCGCAGGGGTCGAGATATTTTGAAACACCGAATTTATGGTCCGATTTGGTTCATATTTAGAAAGCTTGTCTAAAAAATATCTTTATACTATTAACTTATTTACTATTGTTATTAATTAAAAGAATGGCAAAGTGTTCCTATATAAACTACAAATATATGTATATACATATACTCTACGCAGAATCATTTTAATCAAATCAAAGCTTCAAGTTGTGTTTTTTTTCCATATGGGAAAACTGTTTTCCCTGCCCCATTCTCAAAGACATATTTTCGACAAATGAAGATTATTAGAAGTGAATGTTGATATCATTTCGAAAACAGTCCTTTTTCCAGATCGGAAGGTTTCAAACTTATATCTTACCAAACTAAACTGCTTCATGAACGTAATCTTCTTTATATCGATGTGGCTAGGAAGTCGCGTACGAATGACTCTTACTTACACACGGAGGTAGTCTGGCCCATTGTGAATGCCCTCCATGAGTGCCAGGTATTACGCCAATACATTTCCCATAGTTTGGAGTTTTCCTTCCTAAACGTTTATCGTTGAAAGAAAGAACTCCGGTCCTATCGAGGTTATTCTACTCACATGTGCCCTGGTACCTGGTATTCTTCTTAGCCACAGCATTAAGCCCCCCTACACAAGTATGATAGAATAAAGATTGGGCATTCCTTCGGGGATGACGTCACGATAGCAACGCGTAAGGGAGATGAAGGAGTGAAAAAATTACGCCGGTCGCCATTTGCAAATAATTTGTAGTTGTGTTTATCTACGCGAGAAAAAAATTATCGCGGACATTTCTATGATGACGTCGCACGAACGGCTCTTTCAAAAGGTACGGGCATGCTGAGAGATTTGTAGAGCGTAATTTTTTTCATCATGAGAGGGCTTTGCTTTCCAATTATTCGCCTGTTGGGAAGAGTTTTATTCTTCGCTTGATCTCCAGGCTGACATTGCTGGTTGTGTTTATGCTGACGGCCTAAGCAAAAGTTCCAAAATTGTTGTCATCGCTTCACTACCGCTTAAGAGATATACTAAACTGGGCCTATTTTTATGAGAATCGATTAGGCTTTCAGTAAAATTTACCTCAGAATGATAGTATCTATAAACTGGTCAATTAAGATCACTAAGAATGTGGAAAATCTCCTGGCATTCGACATGTTCGTTTAGAGTCCAAATGCTGAGGGTTTCCTTTAGTAAAATATCAAATTTCACTGCATCTACAACACAATGCTTTTATTTCTTTAGAAACTTGTTATACTCACTAAAAAATCGTACGTGCTTAAACCCCTAAAAAATATTAAAAGAAAATAACACTTTCCACATGTTTTTCACATTCATTCAGTTTTGTTTTTTATTATTATATGTATGTATGTATGCAGTTGATTCACTATTACAATGCCTCGTTTACTCTTCAAAGGTTTTACAAAGTTTACTTAACTGGTGTACACAACTACTACGATTTGTTTATTTAATCTATTTTTTTAGGTAGTATATATTAGTTTACATCATTTGCAAATATGTAGTATTTTTAATTATTTTATTGCTCGCTCAATTCCACGAAAAAAAGTTCAACAAATGCTTGCACTTTCACTACATTTTTATAGAAATTCAGTTTAGGAATTTTTATTTTTCATACTAGATATGTGACAAACTGGCGCTTGCACTGATTTAATTAAAACCACGCTGCAGCATTGTACTGCAGCGCTACACACTAATACAAACAAACATGCATACATTCAGAAAAGGAAAATATTATTTGGTTACATATTTGTGTGTACAAAGTGTTAGTTTGGTAGTTTGGTTTTGTTTTGGCTCAGTATTTTACTTTTTGTTTCGCTATCTTCAAGTGTGGCTTGCGTATTTTTTTGAATTTTTTTTTGTTTTGCTGTTTCTTTTCTGTTAAATTTCTTTTATTTAATTTCGTTTTGTTTGTTATTTTTAGTTCATATTTATGTATAACTACAATTGTAAGTAAATGCTAACAACATATTTGTGTATGAGTGGGTAGGTTTGCATGTATGTACACTCACTTTCGCGCATAACTTACTACCAATATTCTTTTTAGAGTTTTGTAAATTAATAAAAAATAATTTTTGTTTTAAATATCGTCGGTGATACTGCAAAACGATCTATGTCTTTTATTACCTCTGGTGCTTACTTGATCTGTTATCTGTATCTGAACGCTTCTGTCAACCGTCCATCTTTATCAGCCAAAGGTAGACAGTTTTGTCATTCCTTTATTAGGGTGTCACGATTTAGGTACAGATGCATTCCAGTGCACGTAAGAGGCCATCTAAATATCAAGGGTACTAATAAACATAGACCGTTTTGCAGTATCACCGACAATATAATTCATACTATAACAAAAACTATACAAAACAAAGTTTCAAACATTATAAGAATTACAAATTTTTTAATAAAAATTTCGAGTAAGCAGTTTTGTAGTCAATTTAATTTTAGTATGTAGTAGAAATTAGAAATAGCTCAAAATTCTGGTTAATTTTGGATATTTTTTTTTTTCATACGATGTTGCGCATTTTCCCTATATAAAAAGCATGCGTTACTTGGAAAAAACTGCGCCAGCAAACTTTTTACAAATCAATGACAATTCGGGGCCACTTTAAACTTGCACATTATCATACTAAAATCGTATCGAGTTATAAAACTACATACCCGAAAATTTCCTAAACATTTTGATGAAAACTTGATGAGTTTTTCTAAATTGTGTGCAAAGTTTAGACACAAGTTATTTTATTAATGTACGAAATTCTACTTCACGAAGAAGATTGTGGTGGTAAGTTATGCGTGACCGCCAGTGTACATTTGTAGTTTCATTCTTCTTTTTCGCTTTTCTATTGAATTTTCCGCAAACTGGCTATTCTATACACTTTTTCATTCGTCGTACTTACAATTATACTACCATAAAGAATACAACTAAGAAAATCATTACGAAAAAAAAAATAAATAAATAAATAAAAAAAGACAGTTGTATGTGTATGCTCGGTCATTCATACGTTAGTTTGCTTTTTCGCTTAGCATTGCGCGGGTGCAAGTCTCGTGAGGGCAGACACTTCATACCTTTTCATACTTTACACTTTTTTTTTTTTAATAAAATAAGAATTTTTTGTAAAACTACGGTGTTAACTTGTACTAAATGCGATCTAAGTAACTTCAATGCAAAATAAAATAATAATAATAGTACTTATTAAAAACTTAAACGTTATACATTAATCCATAGCAAAAATATAATAGCTTAGCATACATTTAGGTGCAATCCATTAGAATGTTCCAAATTATACTAAAGTAAATGGAAAGTTTGAACTTGTTATGAAGCTAACGAGTCTTTCGTCAGCACTTACTTTCGCGCTAAGAAGCGGAGTTAATAAATTTGTGTATTTTTTAACTTCTAACTTTCGCAGTTACTGCCAGCCAATTTCTATAAATATTACACATTAAAAACCTTTTAGCTTTTTGTTAGATTAGCCAAATTGGTAGTGCCATTGTGTTACATTAAAAAACGACAGTTATTTTTGTTAAAATTGTAATAAACAAAAGGAGTTACGCATTTTCAAATCTTTCTTCTGCAACATTTTTTTTTAGACATTCCCCAGCTAATCCACATTTCTACCTTTTTTTGCTTTGCTTAAATTTTTCGCGCATTTTCTGTTAAAGTATAGTTAAACACACTTTTTCGGAGCATTTCTTCTTACTCTAAACACTTTCGACTTTTCCCTTTACAGCATCCTTGTTTTCCCTTTTGTTTTCTTCTCTGGCGTTTTTTTTATTTTTATTTATTTTTTTTTGTATGTCGCTTATTTTTCTACATGTACTGCATAAAACTTGAGAATATCAGACTCAGAGTAATTGCAAAGCGGCATACTCTGCTTCACTCTCCATTAGTTTTTCGTCCTTCCCTCACGGTGACATATGTATCCCACTGGCCCATTTAATTTGTCTTCTTATCTTCTGGTTTTGTCTCCACCTCCTGTTGTTCATGTTGCTCAACGTCCGTTATTTGGTTTTGTAGAAGAACATCGCCATCTGCTGGTGGGTTTGCATTAGCAGTAATTGACGTCGTTTTTGTTGTTGTTAAAGCTGTTGTTGTTTCAGCAGCATCGCCGATGGCATGAATGGAGGTAGAGTTTTCTTGTTTATTATTGGCTAGAAATTGTTGGCTGGAAATGTCCAATTCACTGATGCTATTCTGTAGATGTAATCGAGGATGTTTGTGTTTTGTTTTTTTTGGTTTTTTTTTTGTTTTTGTAAAAGAAGGGGAAGAAAGTAAATGTTGTGTGATTAATAAATAATAAGAAATAATGACAATGGCAACTGAAGCATTTTTTACCTACATACATATGTACATACATACATAAGTACTTACAAACAAACTTAGTAAATACTTACAAATTGGAAATGTCGCCTTAAAATATAGTTCTCTTAATTAGAGAAAAAAATTTCGATAATAAATACGCAATGCTACTACGCAATAATAATATGTACTTTCAATTGTGAGCGATCACGGCTGGTATATATTCTATGTCAACATTGTGTAAAGTTAATTTCTATAAAAATCAGTTTTCGTAAGCGCAGGGAAGGTGGAGAGATTGGTAGTCATCATTTTCATACTCGCTTAGTTAACTTCACTATTTCAGTGTGGACTCGTCTCTAAATTTTCATCTTCAAAATTTTCTAAATAAAAAGCAGGGTACATATAATTCTTGCAGCTTGGGGGGGCAGTTAATATGATGTTGCATATTTTTAGGCAGCAGTGCTTTTGTTTTAGAGAGTTTCGGGAATAAAAATTTAAATAGTGTGAGGCGCACTCTTCTTTAGAAGCCAAACATTTACTCGAAGGTAATACGATGATTTACAGTCAGTGATCAGTGGTGGCGAAGGTTGCTTGAAATAACTAAAACTTGGAACTTTTTTTTTTAATGAAAATTTGAGTTATCCATGCGCGTGATCTACTGCAAACGTCCCGAGAAACAAGCAACTCGTCAAAAATAATAGCTTTATTTTTACACGATGACAAAACGTATAGCATAACTATTGTCATAACTGCTTTGCCCAAAAATATGCCGCTAAAACTTAATTATATTTGTGCATTTTTGTGAGTCTTTTAGGCGCTTAGAATAAATTCTTTCAGCATATTTTAAACTGCAATAGCTATTAATATAGCCTTTTTCTTGTTTAGCCACAGTACCCGCCTAAGCCAAATCTGGCTGAGTTCAATAAATCACGTCCCATTTTCTGTGCCAACTGATGCTAAATAAAAATCCCCAGGGAAGTCCATTCTTACTCCACTCAACTTAATCATCCCATCGAAGAAGCCTTCCTTTTCCCTTGCTACTACCAGCGGTGGAAGCGTGCCTTCTCGTTTTTCGATTCGGACACAGCTATATCGCTAACGGATGTTTCGTCGTCGTGTCTGAATTTACCAACCATGTTGGGATCAACGATTTTTTCTTTCCCACCCTGGCATTGACACGTTTTTTTTTTTTTATCATGTCGGGGATAGGGTTGGTAAGCGAACTTCGTCCTCGTCCACCAGGCTGAACAGTCTCTCTTCCATCACAAATCCAACACCGAATTTGTGCTCCTTTAGAAGTAGCTGTAATAGCCTGCCTGTTGTTTGTTTCATAAATAGAATATACAAAAGCTGAAGAAGTGGAAGTCTTTTAGCTTCTCGCAAGGAATGTTATGTGTTTCCCCGTGCTGGTTCCAAAAGCTGTCAGCAAGGCACCCGCTGAGTGAACCTTATTCGAGCAGGCTTGAAGGCCCCCAAGATGGTATCTTTTTAAAGAAATTGATTCGATAAACACCGCATCACCAAATAGTATATGTATGTACATTGAAAGAAACTATTTGAACATAAATAATACACCCTATTCCTACGCGATGTCCAATGCATTACGATTATTTTAATTAGGTTTTCCCACCGGGTGAACGCTGCTAGACGAAAAAAAAAAAATTTGTCTACGATTCGAGCACAATGTTTTTTCCATAGCTTTTGGACAAAAAATATGTATGATACAGCACACAATCAAGCATTTTATGCAAACGGCTAAAATAGGTATTTGGGAACTAATAAAAACAAACAAAAAAGCAAAACAAAGTGTAGAATAAAAATTGTTATGTGATTTGGAAAGCAGAATACCAACTTTTCTCTTTAGTTTACAAACTCAAAACTTAAAAAAACTTAAAAATGTTGTTTTTAATTTTGCTTAGTATACATTTTTATTTCTTTTTTTATAAACATTGCCAATTTCAAAAAAAAAAGTGTTTTTTATATTAATACTTAAATGCTTAATACACTTTAGTGACCAATTTCGATTATTATACGAACTAAAGGAATATAAAAAATAATTCAACAATAATTACCTAACATTTTAAGTACAATTACATTTACTTAAGTACAATTTTTAACGATGAACATAACTTAGCGGGTTCTTGGGTTATGGGCTGAAATGTAATCCTGAGCGAAAGAAGGGACAAAGTCTGAAAGTGTGGACCAATTTTTTGGCAGGAAAACCTTTAATTAACAAAAAAAGAGAAGTGTATTGCAGCAAAAGTTAATTTCAATTTTGATGGGTGATAGGTGTTGAAGTTTAGAGTATTAATTGATTCCTATTAAGCAAAATGTAAGTTTTACATTAGATGATTTACTATAATTGTTGGAATGCAACTACAAAGGGATGGGCAAGCAAAAGGCACAAAATTGAAGGTTGAAAGTCTGCATTTTGAAGTGGAAAGCAGGAGTAGTATTAGTATAGGAAGTTGAAGATAGAAAGTAAAGAAATGCGAAAATTACAGTGAGGAGCAAAAATGTCAAAATGGTGTTTTTTTTTAACCGACTTCACAAAAATGAGGTTATCAATTCGTCGGAATATTTTTTTTAAATGTATGTTTGGATCACGTTAGCCGATTTCTATAATAATTATTTTTTTTTTTTTAAGAAAGTTGGTTTAGATTCGATTATTGGATCAGGAAAAAGTTGACGATACTCCTAAATTTTTATATTAAATTATTATTATTATATAATACTAAAACTTCATGGTTATAAAACCGCACACTCAGAAATGTTTTAGAAATTCAGATCAAAAACTAAGAAAATTTGGTTGAATTTTACGAATATTTCTATTTTTTGTTTAAGTGGGTTTGGCTATAGTTTTTTTTTATCAGAAATCAACAAAAAAGGTTAAACATGAAAAACATTTGCTATTTGTAAAACAAAATCACTATTTTGACACTTTTTCTCCTCACTGTATTATTTTTGAAGAAAATTTATTTGAGTTCACAAATTAGGCCGTGGAAGGGGAAGTGGTCTAACCCAGAATTTTTTTTATTTTTTTGTAGTACCTTCTTAAAATAGTTTCAAATGTAATCAATTTTAAAATAAAGGTCGCTTATGCATTACTTTCATGATACGCTATGTAGCTGTGTACCTCATAATTAAGGAATAAGTTACACCACAAAAAAAAAAAAAATGGGTTAGGCCACTGCTGCTCTCATGGCCACAAATAATGTAAGGTTTTCGAAAGATTAATGATAATGGTATATTTTTTACAAAAGCTTAAATAATTTTGAAACTTTTTATTTGTTTCGAAACCTAATATAGACTAAGGTTATTGTCGTTTTGAATTTATCAAGAGTCCAATGTGTAATTTAAATTTAAGAAAAAGTCGACCTTAAACATTGCCAAAAGTTTTTTTATACACAAGCTATTAAAACATATAAATTTGTTAATATTTTATCCAACAAACATCTCTTTTGAATTATGAAAAGTTTATTTATCAGCTATTGCAAGAAGTTTTGCGGTTTTGTATATCCCAATATGTACCTACGTACATATTCATAACGTCGACTTTAACTTTTTCCTGGATTAAGGTACGATTAACAATTACAAATGACGAAGAGTGTACATAACACAATTTAGTTTTCAGTTGTTTTGTTAGTGCTCAGGTTTCCCAGCCAATAAGCTAGTGAAAAGTTTACAGTTTTCAGCTTAAATCCAACCCATAAGCTTCGCAAACAAACCAAAGAAAGAGATCATACAAATTTTGACTTAAACTAACTTATATTATTTGGTGTTGTACATAAAGCTAAAGTGCAGTGTGATTGATATTAAAGCGTTAATACACCTACAACACTTAAGTAAACGCCTTCGTATTTAACCATTCCATACTCACCCTCATCATTTTGCGCAATTTCATTGAGGTGCCCATGGACTGTAGACGATAGCGTTCCTTGGCACGTTCACGTATCTTCTCGGGCACGACCAATAATGTGGTGATAATATTGCCGCTGAAGAGCAGAAGGAACAAGCCGCACAACACAGATACCTATAGTAAACGAAATGTAACAAGAAAGATGGTTGAGTCAGCAAAATCAAGATTCAAAACAAAAAAATTAAGAAAATGAGAGACGAAAGGCAAAAAGTCAATAAGGATTATATTAAGGATTACAGGGCAGCAGGGCGGCAACAGGGCCGGGCAGAGAGCGTGCAGATAGGGCGCTTGCATGCGAATTAGCTGAATGAATTAATCAATTAGCCAGCAAATCAGGCACAATCAACCAATGCATTTAACCTAGGACGAAAGCCAAACGCACCCAAATATGTATGTATGTAAATGCATGCTAGCGTCTATATACTTAAACAGGCACATGCACAGGCACAGGCACAAGGACAGACAAATGATTCAGCACATTTAAGGTGCTCCACAAGCATGTCTACAAGTGTGTACATATGTATGTACATACATACGCCCGCCAGTCGCCTGCTGTCACTCAAGCAGCCACTCAATAAATCACACACAATCAGGCATTGACAAACATCTACAAACACACACACATACACTAATAGACTCCCTCACTCATTTAATTGTTTCACTCCCGGCGACCTCGTTGGCCAAACTTACATGCCATGGCGCTCCTGGCGGTTCCGTTGTCAACTTGTAAAGGGTCCAGGCGTTGTATGCTTGGAATGTATAGCCGCCGAATAGGAATGGTAGCAGAAAACTCAAACCACGCCACATCCACGAATGGAAGCCTTCAATGGTGATATCCATGTTGTGACGTTCACCGAGCGCCTTCAGTCGATAGAGCAAACCCTTTTGGTAGCCAAATTGCAAATACTGCACAAGGTCTGTGTGAATGAAGAAACAAAAAAAAAGCAGAAAACACAAAAAATTAAAAGGATGTATGAATAACAAAGTAGTATGCTTGCTGTTGTTGTTTTTATGGATGGCGATGATTTTCAGTGGTGGTGCAGAGGATGAGGGTAGCTTGTTATAAATAGGCAAAGCGCAGTGCAAATAAATCAGCAATTTTTAGTGCATGTGTAGAGGGCCTGCGCTTGCATAGCATTACCAAGGATAAGATAGGAGAATCTATGTATTTATGTATGCATGCAGATGACACAGCGACATAATATTTATGTTTTCACTGCTCCGTGCATACTTACTTATATAGACATTGAAGTACATGAATTGCGTGCGGAATAGCTGCCAATGCTCGCCCTGCGGCCACACAAGCAATACACCGGCGGCTGCCGTTGAGATAAAGTGATGCGCTCGCCACCAGCCTTTAATGCGTGATCCATTTACTTTGAGTATCGATTCACGAATGGTGAGTGTACAGTAGTACCAGACTAGTAGAAAAATGTAGGCAAGTTCGAGGGCCCTGAAAATGGAGAAAAAAAACAACAAGTTGTTTATATTAGTTAAAAAGCAACAGATTGAAAATACATGTAGCAGTGAAAAGTAAAATAAATGTAAACAAAAAAAGTATGGAATAATTTGTCACTGACACCAAAATGCCATGGAATAACCATTTACGATAATGTTACGGTAACGATAACAACCTGTATACATTAGAATGCATCACCGAAAAAAGTTGCGGTTTTTTTTTTTGCCAGCATTACAAAATTTATTATATTTTCATTTGAGGAGATTTAAAAAAAAAATCTTTAAGAAACTATTTTTATTCATAAAAAACTCTATTTTGGAGGTATTTTCAAATCGGTCCAGCGCACTTAAATCTTAATATTTTTCCGAAATATTTTGATGGACGTCTCAAAATATAATAGATTTTATAATTCCAATGGAAAAATAGTACCGATTTTTTTTTGTATGGGGAGTGATGCAGTCTAGTATACATACATAAGTTTATATTCCATTAATATTTGTATGCTGTTTTATTGAAATATGATCCATAAATCTATCTGTAACGTAGCAATTCACTACGAAACANCGTGCTGCTAGCGCTCTCACCGCTGCTGCGCTGCTCCTGAGAGTCAACCGCCGTGCAGCTAGCGCTCTCGCCATCATCCGCTCCGACCCGACCGCACGACCACAACGAACGTCACCTCTCTCTCGCTCTCCCTCTCTTTGGACATAAAGTTGCTAGCACTCTAGTCGTAGCGCCGTGTGTGTGTGTGTGTTCGAAGTAAATACACTAAAATAGTGTGTTTTATTTGGTGGGGGTTAGTGGGACCTTCGCCGGACTCTGGATCGGCTGAGTTCACCTCAGCCTTTGACAAAAACCACCTCATATATCTAACAACTTTATTACGATCAATTTTCTCTATATTGTTAAGAGATTTCTTATCGAGTTTCTACGATACCGTAATCGATTTCCTTAGGTTAAATTTTCTCTATTATGTTATCGAAATGCAATCGTAAATCGTAACCGATCAATATATCGACTTTTTCCGTAATATGTACATACATACATAAATAAATGCATAGCTAAGTGTAGATGTCAAAACATACATATGTAAGTATGTATGTATATCGAAAAATTTGTCGATGGTGATATCGATTATTACGTCAATAACTATATCGATAATGGTATTGATAGATGTATCTAAATCGAGTTCATTACCATATTTAGGGCCGTTTTCTCAAGTAAACTGTATCTTTAAAGCTCACTTTATATTTAAAGGTTGCATTAAAATTTATCATTGTGTCTAAAGTAAAGCATTTTATTATCGGTTTTTAATTGGTTTATAACCAAGAAACATATATTCGTCAAAAACCGATAACAGAAATGCTTAACTTTATACATAGCTTTATTTTTAATCCAACCTTTAAATATAAAGTGAGCGTTAAAGTTAAAGGTTACTTCAGAAAACGGCCCTTAGTATGCTGGAAATCGTGAGTAATAATAGATAATATTTTGACTCTTATACTTTTGCTTAGTGTTTGGTCGAGCTCCTTCTCCTATTTTTGGAGAGCGTCCTGATGTTATAACCATATAAGGTTTTATGGGAAAGAAATACACTTGGAGTTTTGCCATCGCCTTCCGAAGGGCGACCGCTGTTAGAAAATTGGTTTTCTAATTTAAACGTTGCTCGGACCAATGACTGAACCTAAGTCTTAGGGAGTGGTAGTACGCACCTCCAACCACTCAGCTATAGCGGCTACGGAAAACGTGAATATAGTTACCAAGTGAACCTTTGAAACATTTGTTTGCCATTCTTTCTATTAAATTCATTTATTATCATTGGAAGTGTCAGTCAGAAGAATTCTGAAATTCCAATAAGTACCACTCTATGGACTGTGTGGGCTCGAAAAAAATTATTAGAAGTTCGACATATGTATGTATAACTATATCGATAACTATTTTGTACGTTGATAGTGACATCGATTATAATAACATACGTAACGTAAAATACGTTAAAATACTGTAATTAAATAATAACAATAATAGGTCTCTGTTTGGAGCAACAATTCCATAATCTTGACCACCGAGCGACATTTTGATTTCATTTGTGATAATTGCATTTTAATATAATATTTGTATTTAATGGATCTCAAGTACGGTTCATTGCAAAACAAATTAAAACTTTACTCTCAAATTATTTTTCTTCGCAAACAACAACAAAATGCCTACTTCTGAAACGTTTTCTTTGCATTATCAAAACAACTTCTACTACCTGAGATTAAAAACAGAAGAAAACTCAAATGAAGAAGAAAGAAAATCATCAACAATTCGTGGAAATTCGGTGGCAAACAATTATTTGGAATACCGTTTGAATGCAATTAGAAGACAATTTGCAAAACTTAATCAGAACATGAAAATTATTTCAACAGAAATAAATTCTCTATTTCGTTTTGGTGTGAAAATTCTAAAATAAATGACTTAAATGATGCCATTGAAAAACTAAATAGTGTAAGAATAAAAGTGCAAAATAAATAGCAGCACTGACTGAAAAGGACAACCGGGAAAGTTGAAGCCAAGCTAAGGCAACGAACCATTAGTTGATGGCACAGTAGAGTCAAAGCAGGAAGTAAAAAGTTAAAAGCAAAGCAAGCATTTCGCGTTTCCTGCCACTTAACGGAACGTTGGAGTGCAATTCGCGAATATGCGTTTGACTTGGCTGCAACCAAGCTACCCAAAAAACATTTAGGTTAGAGAACGATAAGAAAATGATTCGAATTCCAATGTGTTTCTCTCAAGGCAGAAGGTTAGAAGATGATTAGAGAAATTGGCGAGAATTGTGGCATTTTCTACAAAAATTAGGCTTAGTTCTCAATTATCGAGAAAGAGGTTAGATCGTATCCTAACGTATCAATTCTAATTGGCTTCTAATGTCTAGCGTTTTTCTAATAATTCTCTAATCGAATTCTAACAGTATTGGCCCTGCAAATTTTTCACAATATATGCATAAATTTGTTTCCTAATATTTTACCGCAAATGTTTTATAAAAATATGGTTCATTCTACAACGAAAAAAAAAACAAAAAAATAAAATTCCTAAACTTTGCGCAAAACTCCCGAAAATTCAGCAAATTTTCAACTTTTTTATCAGATTTTTTAGAATTTTTGAGTTTGCAGTAAATTCAAGTAAAACTACTGCAAGCTCGGAGGTAGTGAAATTCGTATTGATTTTTTGAGAAATTTTTTTTATTGAAGATGTTTTGAATTTTTTCCATATAAAGAATTTGCGAAAAAAAGTTGAAAATTTGCATGAAAATTTGCTGAATTTTCGCGAGTTTTGCACTAAGTTTAGGATAGATATTTTTATGTTTTTTGTTGTGGAATGTACCATATTTTTATAAAAAAAAATTGGCGGAAAAAATTAGAAAGAAAATTGTTGCATATATTGAGAAAAATTTGATGTGCTAATACTTTTTGCCGACACTGTAGTTCTATATACTCTGATTTTCGATTCGATTCACTACATTAGAATTCAATTGTAAAATCAAAATATTCCTTTAACGTTAGAGAAGACTCTGTGTTTGCTGGGTACGCGATGATGCTCCTCCACTCACCTGTAGTTGAATATCAAATTGAGAAACGCCATTAACAGTCCAATTACGTTGAGTATTAATTTAAACTTTTCATAGTCATCTTTGTAGCGAACTTTGTCGTTTCTGTTCAGAATTGATACGTTGACATCGCCGAGTATGATCTGGAAGGGAAGAACATTGAGGCAAGAAATTAATAAAATTAATGCATAGGTAAAATACATATATATGTAACTTATATGAAGTTGAGAAATATGAATGAATGTATGGATGTAGTAAGTTCTGATTAATATTGGATTAAAGTTAAAAATGAAAAAGAAAGCACAGAAAAAGTGCCTTGAGAAAATACCGAATGGTAGTCGTAGAATAAAAGTTTTGCGAGCAAAAGGAAAAAATGAGGCTAGAAATTAATAAAATTAATATATGCATAAATAAAGAAGAACTTGTATGTAAATACACATAATATGTACATATTATGACGTACACATTTATGTGGTAGGTAATGAAAAATGTCTGAAAAAAACTGAAGAAGTAGTGACTTTGAAAATACCAAATTCTATGTGTGTATATAGTACTGTGCAGCGGTCAGCCAGCCAGCCCGCGAAAAACTTTGGAAATCTTTAAATATATCATAGAAAAAGCACAATATAAATAAAATAAAATAAACCAGTACTAAAAGGTGAAGAAGGAAGAAGGATATACTACCATCCACCGATTTGTCAAACTCCAATGGAATGCTTATCGAACACTTAGCAGATACGGAAGGATTCCAAAGCAAACAAATTGTTGAGATTTGCATTGCAAATTTATTTGCTGACACCAGCTAAACAATCAATGGATAATAGCTATGAACGACAGAGCGTGACTCAAAAATCAAATGTTGTTGAGCTACGAGTATATCTACACCAACAACAATCGAAATGCAAAAAAGGCAAAGTGCGAATGATGTAAAGCAATATAAAAAAATGAAAATGGACAGTGCTTAGTTTCATAAATAACCAGAAAAGGTCAGCGGAAGTTAAAAGAAACGAAGAAGATAACGAAAACAAAACAATTATAAAAAGAAGACACCGAGTAAATTTAACGCAAATAAAATAACTAAAAGCGGAATAGCATTCGAAAAGTGTAATATACATATGTATGTATACTAGGGTGGTCCAAACTATATTTAATACGTGCGCCGGGTACATAACGTTCGGCTTCGCACGAACTTAGACTTTTTTACTTTTTTTAAAGCATTTTAAAATTGTTAAATTTTCAAGAAACAGTACTATAAAGAAAAATTTGTGGTAATTTTGACATTTTAAATTTTTAAGGACGCTTATATGTATATGGTCCTGTGCAATAACGGCACAATTCTAAATTCCAAAAATGAAAACTGTTACTGCTATTAAGTGGCTCTTTTCTGTAATCCTTGTCTAATCCATTTACATTCCTCACTAAAGTAAGCAGTAAGGATTGCTAAACTAAGTACTAAAGATTAGACATGGATTCAACAAAGATTAGAGACATGAGCCACTTAACAGTAGTAAGGGCTTTTAACTTTTGAATTTTGCATAGGACCGTCGATATGTATGTACAGACTAATGGCGTTTTCTTTTCTCGAAAAAAATGTCACTTTCTTATATGGCAACATTATCAGAGTGGAACGTTTTAAAGAAAGAGCACGAAATATGCATGCAAAGATGCTGAGAAAAGAACATGAAAGCCTGACATCCCTGGCGCAGGGCAGAATAAATGCAACATTATTTTGAGAAAATAAAACGCTACAAATTAATTAACCGTCAAATTAATAAAAAAAAGTGTGCTTCATAAATAGAAAAATTTTATCGAAATCTAATATACATGCATACATCCATACTTTAAACTATTTTTAAACAATTTTTCAGTAATAACTTAAAATTTTATTGTTGGAGCTGCATACTACCAAACAAAGATGAACTTGTCTCTTTGCGGCCCTGTGAGCTCAATATACTACCGAAGCAAAAGTATGTAACCACTTTCACTGCACGTAGATATAACCTTAATATAGCGATAAAATTAGCGCTTGATATCGATATGGTTTAAGATCGAAATCAATTTGCGATTTTATCGCATATAAATTGTCACTAAAAACTAAACTTAGACTGGGGGCTAGCTTACTATAAACTTACTTCAGTAAGCCCGACATTTGGAGAATGTTTACACCAAATATTGTAATTCATTTACTAACAATTATGGATTCAACAAAAGTGATCCCTCATTTATGAATTGTGATTAGTGTTTGGAAAACATTTTTTAATAAACGTCTCTATGCAATGCATCGTAAAGTTAGTGGACAATTTATTAAAAAAAACTTTGATTTAGACAGCGCCGACGATGGCATTGAAGTAGTCCAATGCATTCGTACTAACCTAGCGATCTGATGGTGCCGAAAAGTATTCATTTTTTTTTAAATATATATGTATAAGTCTATTTTTTATATCTAATGCCTTTCAATTGTCTTACAAATGACTCTCAACTATCCTTGTTAAAATTGCCCTGTTAGACATCCATGTGTTGAAGCTCAATAAGAAAATTGTCAAGATTTCTTTTGCATTTTCGGTCTCACTTATTTTCTAGCAATCCCCTTATCATGAAGAAATACATCTTTTCCATACCATTAAATCTGGCGTAAAATGCCGTGTCTTTCAGGCGCATAATAAAAGTAGTTAAAGGGTTAAAAATTCGTATAAAAAATTTCCGTCCAATTTCTTTTATAGATCTTTGAAGACAAGTTATCGATTTGATGATCTCATGGCTGCTTACATGCCAACCTTGCTCAGCCACTCCCAATTTACAATCATGTTTTTCGCGATTTGTCGCCGGAAGTGCATCTTTAATAATAAATGAAAGCGAGCGTAATATCCTTGGATGGCTTTTTTTTGATGACCTTTAAGAATATAAATTTTTTATTGGCGTGCTTTACGTTTTTCCCTTTTTGTTCTTTCAAACGGACTTTCTCTTTACTAGCACTCATCTTCAAAAAATTATTTGACTAAAATAATGGAACTCAATACTTTTTTACAAATTGTACACAATGTATGCAACATTTTTTATTTAAACTTTTTTCCGCATATTTTTTATACAAATATAGTTTAATAACAACAAAAATATAAATGAAATTTCTTAACTTTGTGCAAAACTCTGCTAGAAATTCGCAACTTTCTAATCAAAAGTTTTTTAGAAAATTTTTTAAGATGCATTTTTTTTGTATGGCACAAAATGTTGCCAAAAATCAACGCAATTTTTTAGCAACTTCAAACTTGCAGTTTATTATACTGAAGTTTAACGAGCTACAAACTTCTTTTTCTAAAAAATCTGATAAGTAAGGTGCAAATTTATTGAATTTTATTTTTGTTTTTCGTTGTAGTATGAACTAGAGCTATGCAATTATTCGACCACAAGAACAAGTTGGTTAATCAGTTGTTCGGGTAATCAATTACTCGAGTAATCAAGTTTTTGATTACTTAATCGAGTTACTTAAAATACGATTACTCAAAAAATAATAATTTTGCTCATTAAATGAGTTTGCGCTGGAAAATGCTTGACTTCTTTTTCAGCGTGCATATAAAAAAAAATATTTCATTTTAATTTTTGAAAGCAGAAACAGTTTATTCAAAATATCAAGGGAATTCTATTTCTTTATAGCTACGTAAAGAGTACTTTGAAAATTTTATTACACATAATGTTGTTTAACGTAAAGCAAATTATTCAAATAGTTTAGTATTTAGCTAATCAAAATCGTGATTACTGTAGTAACTGAATTTTTGAATAATTAAAAAAACAAAAAAAAAAAATAGCGTAAAGTATTAAAATAAAAAATGTTACACACATTATGCCAAATAATCTGTGCTAATACTTTTCTACGGCAGTGTTTTTATGTATGCAGCTCTTAACGTCACCTTTCAAATGACGTTAAGCTTATTGTGATGCGATTAGTATTATCTAAGAAAAATCGTCTAAGCTTTTTGTTGCATAACCCCTTAATCTTGTCTAGTTTGGCGCTATAACCATCTAAGAGATTTTGGCCGAATGACCACATAATAGTTGTTGATAAATGTGTAAATCAAACATCCATTCAGAGGCAAGAAGTTCAGCTTGAGAGCCTCCCAAATCTATGTTTAATACAAGATTTTAATGTTCAACTACTCACCTTCAGATACAAGCCGGATTGGGCGGGTAAAGACTGTTCGATTTCATGAATCTGTGCTTTTCGTTTCAATGTGTTTTTATGTAATTCCTCCACTTTTTCCTTCTCTTCCGGCGTCTGAGGTGTTTTGCATCTGAAATGAAGTGGAAAAAACGCAGAACGGATGCATTTAGAATTAATAAACCCGCATTAAAGAGATTAGAATTATTTATTTTTATTTTCTTAATTGAGGAAATAATGCAAAATATGAATTTAAAAAATAATAAAATATATATCAGAATGATGTCATAGTACAAATGGTTATTGCCATTAAAGTCAGCATAGATTGCAATGTGTTGACAATAATTTGTAAAAGCGATGGAGCGTGTAATACAATATCAACGATGAAATCATATACATACATATATACATACATAGTATATAAAACAATAAGAGGTACAATTGACAGCAACTGGCAAAGGTTGACATTGGTAATTACGTACATATAAACATTTTAGTGCGTTGTCGGACGCAATTATTTTAGTGGCACGTTTGCTGTAACACAAAATCTTATCTTTCGTGGGCAGTAAAATCATTGTTGGTTTTTGATGTTTCTTTAATGACCAAGCTAAACGTACTACATATAAAGCTTATGTTAACATGCAGAAATTGGGTAAAGTTCATTTTCTTTACTGATAGCATTTACCATTCGATAATAGATACGATAAACGAAAATCGGTAAATCCAATGAATAAATTTTGCATTCGAATTTAAATTCGATGAGTGATTGAAATTCGAAAGATAACGGTTTAGGTTAATAATAATAGATTGACTTCTCCCCTCGATTTGTGGCGTTGCGCCTCGATGTTGACGACTCCAAACGGCGAATACTGTGCTCGAACCCAGGCCTTACGGAATGATAGTGCGCATTGCTAACCACAGCGTCCGCAACTCTCACCATTAATTAAGCTTGGTATACACATGGATCTCAATTCCAAATATGTATTTGTAAAGTGAGGGACCAAGAAATGGATGGGTTTTGTTCTTTATTTTTTTTTGCTATACAACTTTTATTTTCATTTTAAAATATACATACATATGTATATCAAACTTTAAATAAACTAATTTGTTCTGAAATTAGTTTTTCACACGTGCATCGCGTGCTGCTTGTCAATACTTTCAATCGGTGGTATTGCATGCATGACATTCATTGTACTAATTACTGATAGGCATTCGTATTAATCAGCTCTAATTAAAATACAAACGTATAGTTGTTTTGATAACCCTAGATGACAGACGGTTTACTAGTGATTTCCTGTGAAGTCATTAATTTGTTATATTTCTGTGAACTTTGGATCGTGAAATTCGGGCGAAGCCGAATATTTAATACCCGGCGCACGTATTAAATATAGTTTTTTTTTCACTTTTCCGAAAACTACCGTTACATGGTAAAGGGCCGATTCCAGCTCTCAAGCAAAATGGAAAAGAAATTTTGGCTTTTACAAACAACCATTAGTGAATAATAGCGTGGGCCGAAAATCCGATTTTTTAGAATTTTGATTGGTAATTTGCTTTAAAACCAACCTGTGTGAAAGATGAAAATTTTTGGTCAAGGTCTTAGGCTCGCCCGAGTCCATCATCCTCCTCATCTCCGCCGCGAAATATACTGCCATACTCTTCCCTTTATGAACTAAGGAGATCAGACTCGAATTAGACGTTTAGTCGACGGCGCCGAAATTCCGACAACTAACCACCCCCAAAATCCTAGGAGTGACGTTTGGGAGCCTTTTCTCCTTTTCCGCGCACGCCTTAGCCATATATATTCAACAAACTACGGGCCAGGAACAGAGTGCTCAAGTTGTTAACAGAACGCAGCTCTACGTACTATGTACTGTCATCTCATGTCGTCCGAGCATCACGCCCACGAAGAATGGCAGCTGCTGGCGGTGAAAGGATGCAGCATTATGCTAAAGAAGCCATTCCTCATGAGATGACACCGTGGGAACCACCTCAACAATGTCGCATTTCCGAACATGGAATCTTGGAAAACTTTTTGAAACAGTTTTATTTATTTTGGGGCTCCATCAGAGGAATCATTATACCACTACACGGCGCGAGGTACAATCGACCTCTCGAGCTGTGTGATACTAAAGGTGCTTTCACAAAGTGCGATTGCCTATCGAACGACTTCTTTCATCTAATGCTGTAGAAGAAAGGTAGAGCTACATAACCAAGTAAATCGCTTTGGAGCAGCTTTTTTATAAGAGTACAATTACAGGAGTATGCCGTTGATATCGACGCGATTGTCCTTAACAACTGCACTGTTTACATTTGACTTCCAAATTACGATATGGAAGCGCTGCGAATAGGTCTGGATGTGAACGAGAACACGACTATTTCGCCTTCACTTTTTCATTAAGAAAATAGTCAGCGCATTCAAGTTTCGGCACTCACGTCACTCTTAAGACCCATAATTTCGAAAAAGTAGAGCACTCTGTTTATTCGGAGAATCCAACTGATGATCACCCATGTCAGCACTTTTTGTTCGGAATTTAAAAAAAAATTAGGTATGCAGTCTTAAAGCCCATTACATTTTTGTAAAATGAAGTGCAAATTTCGAGTGGCTACAAATCGCTATATTGAGCTCGCCGAAAATCGAATAAACCATTACCATTATTAATCAAGAAGAAAGTGAAGAATTACATTTGATTCACAAAAATTAGTAGTGATTTCCCAAGCGCGCGAATTTCAGTTCAAACGACAACATATTAGAGATGCCAGATCGAAATAAAAATAATCGATGCAGGAAGAAATCGTCAAAAAATAAATTGATCTCCCAAGATCGATTCATATAAATGGCCAAAAAACGCCTTTTATTTAATTTTCTTAAAAAAAAAAAAAAAAAAAAATACGGCCCTCTGACCAACACTGAAATTACAAATATTATTGTAAGTGCAAAACATGCATTGCTTTAACCGTTTCAGTTTATCCGAAAGTTATCAGGTAGCTAATATTACGACAACAATATGAACATTCAACAGAAACTTCATAAATTCTTAGCCCTACTTAGAAAAATGGTAAATTTATTTTATTTTTTTTGAATTTCGCGCAGCAAGAGGCTTTTTGGAATTATATTGTGCATTGATAAGAAATTAAATAATTCGTGATTTTTCGAGTTTTTTGTGAGTTTTAGAATTTAAATAGATTTTTCCGAATTGTTTTAGGATTTGTTCGGCCGCCATGGTTTATTAAAATTGTTTGCTTTTTATTGTAAAAATTAATATTTTGGCAATGTTCTTGTGGCTTATTAACATTTTATTTTTAATATTTTTATTGAGCTTTGTACCACGATTGTTTATTAGGAAAAATTGAAAGAGAAACAAAGTCTAAGCGGTAGAAGTTATAGCAGTTATTTCGGAGATCACCACATCTCCTTATCAGACTTCTTTTTTCTAGACTTCCCTGCTGAACTTCTACCGCTTAGACTTTGTTGCTTTTTCAATTTTTCTTAATAAACAATCGTGGTACAAAGCTCAATAAAAATATTAAAAAATTAATATTTTGTTTATTAATCCGCCTAATAGCCCTTAAAATTTCTTTATTCATTCTGAACGTTTGGAATAAACTTTTTTGTTTACCGATTTTATAGAACTTTCCTGATGATATGTTCAACGTATATTTCAAACGCATTCTGTTTATTCCGGCTATGAAATGGGATTATCTGGAATGTGTAAAGAAACGCAGCCAATATGTGTTTCCAGACAATAAATTATTTAAATTGATCGGCAAAACTCAAGGGTAATTGCTTAACTATCGGTGCCAGGAAAATCGTAATCATACGTGCATATGCATGTATAATAAACTGTTAGGAGATATTATTGTTTAATGTTTATTAAATTTTTACGATTATTATGGTACTTGACTCTTATGGATAATATGCACTCATACATATGTACATATGTACGTATGCACATTTTTGATCGTTAAGCTTTGGCTATACACAAAAGTACCCACCCCGCGGTTCTGCTTATATTACATATGGGGCCTTGAGAGTCAGAGTAGCCTAACGCCAAATAAAAAAAAATATATATTAGAAACGATACTAGAGCTCGAGGCACGCCTTTTAATTTTTCTTTTACTATAATAGGTAGCATCACGTAGGTGCAATCAATTTTTCAGTAAAAGACCGTTTGTAATATTTACGAGATCCCTCTTTCTCATACACACACACAAACAAAACTTTTGTAGGTAGGCTCTTCTGGCTCTCGTTTCCCTCATATAACAAAATCGTTTTAAATCATTCTCTTCCAGCAAACGAGCAATTAATATTTTAATGTATGTTTTAAAAGGTCGTGTTATATAATTTCGTTTCTATAATTAAATAGTAGAAAGCGGGTTCGTTATCTGTAGAAACATTTTACTTTCAAATAAACAGAGTTATCAAATCTAAGTTGATAAATGCGTACATGTATATACATATATATGCACAAACAAAGGTACAGCTATCAACTAAAAGCCCACAAAAAAATCATTTGGTTGAATAAACAAGCCATTAGCAAATGATAAGGAAAGGTAAATTAATCTATTACGGCAAAATTTAGTAGTAACTAACTGCTCAATATAAATTATACATGCATATGCATGTGTGTGTGTGCGTATTTTTCGCAATTTGCAAGCATGCCAAAGTCGTACCAAAAACTCAAGGTGGCGGGCCATTAAGACGAGTTGTGCATTTTAAAAATTTTATTGAATTGCAGGAGCGCTGGCTTACGTACTTTGTGTACATAGAGCAAATGCGTCAACAATTGTTTAAGTACATAGGTTGAATTTACTTAGCGCATGTGAAGCAAATCGCATTCGCTGACCGCTTATGTTACATGTGATGTGAATGTTGTTGTTGGCACACCGGCCGGCTGAATAAACTCGAATTAAAAGCGATTTAAAACAATAAAGCTGACTTTGTGTGAGATTCCGTTGGCGAATAAACAATATCCAAGTGTGCAGCGAGTATTGCAAAAATGAAAAAAATAAAAAAAAACACAAAAAACAATAACATGCAATTTAAGCAAATCGCGACTTAAAAAACGCGCATTTTTCGCCCATGTACTTCTTTAAGTGCAGAGAGTTATCACATTTTCTCCAACAAGTGTTTCCGCTGCGCAGTA